GTCTCCATGTGTTGTCGTGTTTCTGCGAGGGCGTTCGAAACCTCTTCGGCGAAAACCCATGATTCCTTCGCCTCAGAGGTTTAGGTACGTGCGAGTGGTTACTTTTCAAGCCAACTCACCATCCTCCTTACTCTGACTGGAGTGATCAGCTCAATCGAGAGTCTTATCAAATACCTCTTTGTCTTCGCAACTTGACTGCATTGACTTTAAGGACTTTCTGCCACGATCGGACTAGTCAATATCGTGGGAAAGTTCCTCATCCGCAGATAGGCCTCCGGTTTGCTCTACACTGTGCGAGCACTAGACTGTGCTCCGTGCCTCGTCCTTATGTGCACGTCCCGATAACTCATTGGACTGTTGGCGATTTCGTCCCAACACTTTCTGTCCATGTCCGAGGTAGTCAACCTCACTTCGCTCGTAGCTCCACGGTTACCTGTCCGATTGACTCCATTCTACTTTTCAGACACGGCCCGAGGTCCCCTCCTATATATCCTGCGAATAGCGTCCGGTCGGACGGACTGCAACGACGTATATGGTGTTATGAAGCATGCTTCGTTTTCACCGGTTTATACTGTCGGGACGCCAAATTCCGGCGACACTATTACTGTGCGCAGGGCCAACGGCGGGGCTGGAGGGGGGTGTTGGCTATGAAATCTTTGCGGTTTTTAGGAGGTCTTTGCATGGGGAACGTCTGTGCATTCATATGTGTAACACTATTCAATGTATGTACTCGAGAACCACCTCTGTATACTGGATACATAATGGCCGTCTCTGTGATAGTACGGAGGGAAATTGGATGATGGCAGTGGAATATTACCTTTCTTGCACTACAACCTTCTAGATTGTGTCTGATATCTTCTTTATCAGACAACCTATAGAGAAGATCTTGTTTACACAGCGCAACACAAATGCAATTGCGTTGGATACAGAGTATATACTGAAATGCATAACACAGACTGGTGGTAGGAAGTTCAAGTACTATAGCAATTTCTTATCATCTCTTGACTAAAGATCTGGCTAACCTATAACAGGAAACCCTTCCACATAGTACTACAGTTGTTCTAATTATCAAGATGTCTGATCAGACCCATCTCACCAACTTCTCTAGTGACAAAAAGGGCTGGCCGGTATATATTATAATAGGAAATCTTGCATCAACTAAGCGTAACAGGCCCAGATCGATGGCTATCCTTCTTGTAGCCCTGCTACTAGTCCCTCCTCAGTTGCCCCAGTTGGCTTCAGCAAACAGACCAGAGAAAAAACAATTCCTCCACCTATAAAGGCAACTTGGAACACTTATTTGAGCCCTTGCAAGATGCTACACCCAATGGCGTCCCAATTGACTATATAGATAGGAATGTCTGGAGATGCTTTCCGATATCACCTGTGTGGATTGTACACCATATGGAAAACATTGCTATTTTATGGAATAAAATCCAATGCCTGTCCTAAATATAAGATTTGTCCATACCAGCTCGGTGCACATACAAATATGGCATATCACGCTCAAGATCATACAACATATGGGGAACTCGAGTAGCATCTTCACGAACAGTTGGCGATGTCAGATTCATACATGACCCACCCCACATTCAATGATCTGGGTGTCAACATCGGGTGGAATCTTTCCCCAGGCTCTGCTGGGTGTCTGCGCCCTACTTGTACCAGCCTAATCTCCTTCATACAATTTACCTGGGACTGTTGGAGCACATACTAGATTGGATGCCAGGATTTCTCAACAAACATGGATAACTACAAGTATTTGATAATGCTTTGAAGTTTTTGCCACTATACTCCCTGTTCTTTGTTCCCAGAAAAGCTTACCATGTGGTTACGCAGTAGCAAGAGAAAAAGAGGAGAAATTTGGAGCGATGTCTTTTAGCAGTTTTAGCTGTGGCGTTGAGACTGCCAGACTGTACGTAACAGCAATCTTTCAAATATGCGCTTGCTGGAGTTAGATCATACTCTATTTCAGTTTGATTGCGCAATATAAAAGTTACACAGCCAAGACTATAGATTATATAGAACAATATCTCCACAGGTTTCATACCATGAAGAACATCTTCTTAGAATGTCCAACGTCAAAACCGACAAGAGGTGAACTTAAGGATCAGGTCCTAGGGATATGGTATTAGCAAGCCAAGTTGAATGAATCTGACCCCAGGTCGAAGGTATGAAAAAAATACTCAGGCAGGAGGACAACTAACAAATGGAACTAATTCAGTCAAAATGTCATTTCAACTTCATCAAGATGCATCTGCTATCTCACTTCCTTGATCACATATACTAGTTTGGAAAGATTTCTATGTATTCAACTCAATTTGAGGAGCTGACATATAAGGATTACATTAAAAACAGATAGTGATGATCAAATAAAAAGAATCTCTCCAGGCAGATTCTGAGCAGTTATAGATAACAATATGCAATCTGAATAAGGCTTTTGAACCTAGATTCACTGAGATGCCAAGGAGCTCATATTCCTGTAGACATTGTTGACCTTTTAAACAAAGCTGGTACCGGAACTGCACCAGTAGCTGAGGCGTGTCTCAGAGTCCTGAAGGGGCACCATGGTGATGTTGCATGTCTGGTCGAATTTTGTAATGTCCAGTGTATTACCACCTAAAACATGAGTACCAAATTGATCCGATATAGCTGCCAGATACTTCCCATAGATTGTTGCCTTTCTGACGATCCTGCTATAATTTAACTCCTTTCCATTGAACTACTGATATAACTGGAAATCCCAGTTCCTGCCTTTCAGGAAACCAATATTTTTGACATCAACTGGTCAAGATCTATAGGATCCAGACTTTCTTGAAATCAGGCTAGTCGGAACAATTGGGTTTGGGTTCAGGCAGGCAGGGAGTAAATGTATGGTGCGCTCCATGGCCATCTTCTGGGAAAGCTTATAGCATTGTTCAAACTGCGAGATTGTAGGTATCAGAAGACAATACATCAACTTTCTTGCATGCAGATATTAAGTGCAGTTAACTCTGGGCATCTGTCAGGATTACAAAATCCTGTCACAGTTCAGCTTAGACCTGATATGAGAAGATTTACTATAGTGAACATAGGCACGAGACTTGGGCAAGTCCCCCTGATTCTGGAGCCCGACAGGTAATAGCTGGTCAACAGTCACATTGATTTAAGAATGTTCAATAAAATATATTGACAAACATCATACAAATGTATTAATTATGTGACACTCAGAACTTCTAACATCAGACCTGAATCCTTCTATAACAAACAGGCAATATGGGCGTAGAATAAGCAAGGTCTCTTGATAGCAAGCTGTATATAGACATAATAGAATATGATTAAGACAAAGTACTAGAAATCAGGTATCCACCAAAGGATCAGCAAACCTGCTGTGAGGAACCATGACATGCTTGCCTGTACAGAGTTGTCAATATTATGGATAGGGGATGCAAGGCAGGCTCCTCTGTCTATTAGCTGGTATAAACATTGTGGCAACGTAGGGAGGCACTCATATGAATCGCTACTAGCAGACAACACAGCAGAGCATAATTGGGAGTGTAGTGATTGTTGCGTTTCAAGTCTGATGTTATGCGAAAGTGGCAAGGACAGCTAGGAGGAACTGGATGGAATGTAGGATTATCATGTGATGCCATGAGGGAATCCAGAGAAAGTAGCCAGAAGTGGTGTATCAGGAGGGGGTGATACTAGGAGCTCATGGTAGGGGTTCAAAAGAAGGGTTGGCTGCCATAGGATGTGGTCCGGATATCCCAGTAACAGAGGGGAGTGCCCAGCAGGAATCCTGATAATAGAGTATGGGACAGAGCATCAGGTGGTAAGGCAAACGTGAGGCCACGAGTGCTGAGCTCAGAGCGCTGGTTTCACAGTAGTAATATAGGGATGTGATCCAGAGATTCAACTGAGGAGCTGGAGGGTACCAGAGGTAAGCATGCAAGGGGAGTAGTGATAGGATGCAGGGGACATAGGGGGGCTTCGGGGCTGGACGCCTGGACACATGGGATGCTGTGGGGCATTGCATCAGAATCAGGATACACAGGACACAGGAGATACAAAAAATTAAAACTCGGGATCAGGATGCACTGTCCATGCATCAGACGCAGAGTTCTTTTTTTATTTTTTTTATTTACTGATGTAGTAGCAAGTAAAGAACATCAATGGTAATAATTGCCCTTGTCCATTATGATCCTTTTGCATAATCTTAGATTATCTACTGACCTGAGGCTGACTTCAAGTTTCTACTCCTAGTCCCCTGTAGTCCCCTGTAGTCCCCTGTAGTCCCCTGTAGTCCCCACCGTCCCCCGCAGTCTTCTCTGGTCCCCCATAGTTCCCCATAGTCCCCAATAGTCCCCAATAGTCCTATCCAATCCTTTGCGCTAATTTGTCTTACCTTGCAGGGACCGCCTCTCAGACTGCATTCCCGAAGGTTCTGGAGCGGAACGGGCCGCAATTCGCCGTCCCCTCCCGTCCAGGGTTCTTGGCAGTCGCCCGAGCGGGCCCCGCCGGAGCACTAGACTACCGGTATTGAGAACACTGGGTCTCCCTTACTCTTGTTGCTCAACGCGTACAAAAACAAATATCTGCTCACACAGTACTCGAATTCTTTATATTGAAGGTAGAGTTCATATCCGACCACATCGCGAAGTACGTGTTCACGCTCAGCCGTCCTATCTTGGAGAATGAAGTATTGGCCAGCCCTCAAACTTCACCGCCAATCACTCGTTTAATGCTACAAACGAAACATCTCTCCCCTTTTCCTTGCGGTACGGAACAGCAACAAAGGAAATCGCACGGGAATCATCGTCTGGTTCATACAAACGGCAGTAAAAGGAAAAGGATCAAAGCGGAAAAGATACACATTATCCAGCCACTCCATTGCAACTTGGCGGATCAAAAATGAAGAGAGCAAAACATAGCGCACATGCTGAAGGAAACGAAGGGATGTAATAATCGCACAACGAATAGAAACAGGAAGGCGAAGAAAAGCTATAATACACAACCCCGATCTACTCCTCCGCGTCCTCCACTGTGGCCCTTCCTTTACCCTTCTCCTGGCCAGCATTCGTGGATTCACTGGTGGTAGACAACAGCCCTTCTACTGCATGTTGCTTTTCCAACCATAGCCGCTCCTCGGCGACAATGTCCCTCCCAAACGAATCCAAGACACGTGATTGTGCTATAGAGTCAAAAATACTGCGCTGACCAAATAATGAGAGTTCGTTATTGGGATTGAACTGACCAACGACGCGCTCCGACGGTGGCCGATCAGCCTGCTCTAGCCTGTTTGCAGCCGTGCGCATAGCAAGGCTAATATCATTGAGAACCCGGATCCGCTTATTGGCGATCTCTCTAGTTTCTTTCTCAGCCCTCTCTGCGGTATCTTTGTCGCAACTCTCGGAAAGGCTGGGGATTTCGGTCCAGTCGGATATGCTCTCGAGTAGTGAGGATACATTTGGAAGTGGCTGTCCTAAGTCTGAGATTGCAGCATCTAGTTTCTCAAGCTCGGCGTTGATTTGGGGATCCTGAAAGTACCGAACGAGGCTATCTCTGAAGGGAGTCTTTGGGATGCCAAGGAGAAGACGGACCCTGCTTTCAAACGAAAACTGCATCGCGAGGACAGAGACGTGATAAGCGGCGAGGTTAAATCGTCCAGTTGTGGGAGGAGGTAAGCATTCCCCGCCGGTACCCAATACCCGTGCCATTTCCCGATCCGGCCACCCGTCGAGCACATCCCGTCTGAATTGTTCGGGCAAGCCGTAGAGTATCTCCAATGCCAGGTGAAGTCTATCTTCGTCAACATGATATTGGACAAAATGGCTAATAACCGCAACGCTCTCGCGAACCCTAGGTCTTAGATTCGCAATTTGTGTTCTGGTCAGACGAGTGGATATATCTTCAGGGATAGTAGGAATTGAGAATGAGTAGGGCGCAGAGCTGAAGTGTATAGTGAGGTCTCTGGAGGCAGGAATGGCCATACCAACTGGTGGATGAGCAGGCCTCAGCTCCCCCTGCCGCTCTGTTCTCTCAGCTGACGGTGTCATCCGGGCATGGTAAGCTCTCATCCACTCTTGGTATGTCCGCTGCCCCCGTCGTCGGAGAAGGCGGATCCCCCCACCGCTTGTGGTAGTGCCAGGAGAGTTAGCGACTGGATCAGCTCCTGGGACAGCCAAAGGAACAACACTCCATCCAGGTGGAAGAGTCATGCCAGCAGGCAGCAGAGGGCCGCCCGGGAGACCAGGATTAGGTTGAAGGCCATTAGGAGCAGGGTGACCAGCCGTGGGGAGAGTAGTGCTAGCGGCGCTCTGGTCACCAGGAGTCGAAACACAGTCCCCACGAGCACCAACATTTGTAGACCGGCTTGGAGTAATTTGTATTCCAGCTTCCTGTGGAGCAGGGGTGGCAGGATTCTCAGGCCTGGCGGTGGCGTCTGGGGCACCTCCGGCAGCCACCTGAGCGTGATTCTCAGGTCTAGCGGTGGCGTCTGGGGCACCTCCGGCAGCCACCTGAGCGTGTATCTGTAGCTCTTGCAATTGCCTGAGCTGCCTTCGGGTAATATCGATCATAGCTAACTCACGATCAAGGAGTTGCCTAGTCCTCGCGATATGCTGGTCGATCTCTGTCCGCATATTCCCGGTAGCGCCCATCATTGCAAGCGCAATATCGGCATTTGGTTCTTGAGGTCGTTGGGCATTTCGATTCCACTGCTGAACAGGTGGCGCATTCATTCTGTCTATTAAGTTCTGCACAAGGCCAGGCCCGCCCACCCCGAATGCGATCTCCGCCCTGAAACCTAATCCATCTCCTGCAGCCTGAAAATTGATCCCAGGCGGCCCGGGGGCTGCAGCGTTCGCCGCATTGTTGCCGCCTGGAATGTTGGCGGCAGGCTCGTCGAGAACAGGCCGGCGACAGGTGGGACACCGCTGCTGCCTCTCCAACCAACTGCGAAGACAAGAAAAGTGGAGCACATGACCACAAGGAAGGCGTTTTGGCCTAGACCGCTGATCCTGAGTCCCAACAGCTCTCCCTCCCTCGTTCTCCGCACCTGCCGTCCAAGCACGCATCTCTTCCCTGCAAATGATACAAACACCCTCTCGCTCTACCTCCTCTGCACTAGCATCCGGGTATCGTGAATTCATGTGCGCGGTCGCTCGGCGGTACCGGATAAAATCTCGGATACGGGTGATGAAAGATCGCAGAGTGAGGTAGACATCTCGAATGATGTGCAGCGGCAGCCCGTACCAAGTGAGAACGATGGCGAAGAAGCACAGGTAGGTAGCGAGTTTCAATAAATCTGCAGAAGTTAGCAGCGCTCATTTCCCTAGGGCTATTGCGTACCCGTGGTCAGCTCCAGATAAAAAACCCAAGTGCCCTTCTCCTCCCATCCGCCAACATCAATCTCATCGTCATCCTCCTCATCACCCTCCTCAGGCAGGGCCTCATCTTCAACAAATTCGCCTAAATCCCGCCTCCGCTGGTTTTCTGCCCTCTGTGCCCCACGGCGATTGCGTACTGCGTCCCTCTCAACCACTCTCGCTTCCCTTCTCCGAGCCGCTTCACGCTTAAGAATAAACTTCTCCACCACATTCAGAACGTATCTTCCCGTAATACCCAATGAGGTAATTAACAATATTGCAAATTCGAAAGCAAACATAACCATCATGTTGGGGCGACCCAACTCCAATACCGAAATGACGGAGTGCCAGAGCATTGCTCCGCAGGCCGACAGCAGAAGGACGAGAGAAGAGGCCAAGCGTATATGGAACAGCATAGGATTTACGGGTGGTTGGGTTTCCATCTAGCGATATCAGCTACGTCTTCAAGTAAAAATATGGGGTACTAACGAATTCAACCCTGCCGCCCCCAATCCAACTAAAGCACTTGATAAAAAGCAAAACCCCAAACATCACAATAAATCGTACGTCAAACTCATCCCGGAAGATCGTCATGGCCAGACATGTTTCTGTAACAGCATACCAAGCCTTTTCGTAAAGTCGTTCTATCTCTGGAGCACGTAAGGGTCCGTAAAAGACAAGTTGTAGACCATGACCAAAGAGGATGGATAAGAGCAACAACAAATTCGTCAAAACCATGAGGCAGGCATTGGATTGTCCCAAGTGAACACAAGCAGAGTAGAAGTTCGCGCGATAGTTGAACGCGCTAAGGATTACTCCACCGCCGAGAACGGTACTTGTCTACATGGATACAACTTTAGAAAAATTTTAGACGTTAGAGCACAGGCGGGGAAACTCACAGCGCCGTAGACGGCGAGCCGCATGGTGAGGTCTAGATGAGAATATCAGAAATCCAGAATGAGGGGGCTAGGGATGATGTGGGATTAGATATTGTGGGGAAAAATAAGAGAAAAGAAACACGAAGAGAACTGGTTGGGAGCTCACTTGTTGCCGGAGCCGAGATGTTTGGAGCTAGGTTGGGGGAGAGGTTCGCTCATCAGTCCGAACACCGTGTCTGATTACATAATGCGAAAATCGGATGACGTTTGTGCCAATTCTAAAATGGCCCGAGGTACGAAGATAACTAGGCGCTCTTGCCGACACCCGTAGGCTACCGTGCAAGTATCATGAGACCTCCGAGTACGAGTAGTATTCGCGAACTACGGTAAGTGAACCCATAGCCTAATAAATAGTGGACACTCAACTCCATCCTATTAGATATCTCATCTCGTCACAATGCCTCTCTCACTATCCCCAATCGCTACTTCGCCACTTCTCAAATCTCTCCATCATCATCCCAATTTACCGATACACACTTTCTACTTTGTAGCCGCTGTAGCTTTTTCAGTTATCAACCGTCCGCAGGAGATTCCCAGAATATGGGAATACGCTGTTGAAGAGGCTGCCATTCCTGGGAGCGAAACAGAAGGGTATGTGGAAAGGGAGCTAATAGGCAACATCATCCAGAATGGGGAGCGTGAGAGCGCCCTAACCATCCATCGAAAACTTCGCGAGGCGATTTTAAAAAGTGCCGCCATCGGGGGTTTACCCAAGGTCCTTCCCAACCCTTGAATTCACCCCTCTCAAAATAAATACTAAAATGACTAAAGGATTAGGCAATCAACTCCTTGAATATACTGAAGGCTGTTACCGCTCTACATATTTTGTCTGCACCAACGACTACCAACCGCCGACTATTGTTCCAACCCACCTACCACACTAACGCCTTGACGAGAGGCTGTCAATTCTTTGATACAGTGTACGGGAAAGTGTCGAAACGGGTCATGGGTGGAATGCGAAATTCCTATGACGACCTTGCTGTAGTTACTGAACTATTGTACGGCCATGTACTTAGTAATTCCGAGGTGATTGGAGCACGAGATACCAGTTTGACCTTAATTGCTGGATTGATCCCGCAAAATGTTCGCAAGAAACTTGGTTTGCAGAAGTAACAGTACCTGGGGAAAACAGAATGCTAACCGTTGTCCACAGGTCAACCCGCAGCTGAAAGGGCACTTGCGCGGAGCACTAAACAATGGGGCCACTGCGGAGGAGGTGATGGCAGTGCGTGAGGTTGTGTTGAGAATTTGCCGAGAAGCTAGATGCGGACCCCGGGAATCCGAGGTCGAAACGCTTTAAGTAATTAAAACTACGCTGCACCAGGAGAAATTTCAATGGAATTTAGCACCTCACTCCCCGCTATATAATAGACTCTCCTTATCCCATCGAGGGATGAAACATGCAGATTGGGTACTGTCCCTATCAATTCCGGGTCTACTTGGTGCACCGTCAGCTGAGATGACTGTAGTGTTCCACATGCCATCGCTCCCAGACCGCATTGCGGGAAATCCCTACAATATGTTTGGGATAGCCTTTGCTAAAAGTTTTACTGGAGGACCTCGCGTAAGTCGATCGGGAGCAAGGTGTATTGGAATAGAGAGCGGAATAGAAGGTAACATCTTGTACCCAGTGATGGGTCAGCTTCTGGTTATGGCTCAGTATTCTAGTACTTTTAAAAACATGAAATTTACAACCACTAGGTTACACCTGCTCTAAATAGTGTGGCGATTTTGCAGTGGTTAGAGGGATTGGCTCAGTTTTAATATCCATGAAAATAAAGGCTTAAATGTATTTACTATCTAGCTCAGAACTGGCCTTGGTTCACTACCTGTTTCAGAAGTTCTATAGATAATTTATACTAAAGTACAATTCCAAGCTGTTTAATACAGGACCAGAACAGCAATCCTACTATGGTTCTGGAAGACTAAACGTAAACCCACTTTTCACAGAAAAACTGTGGGAATTTTATGGGTAATGGCAACCATAATGCTTGTAATATGTCTTGGCTTAACCTATTTTTTTATTAGTACTAAGAACTGTAGAATATAAAAATAACAATAGTAAAGGTCTCTATACCACCTACGTTTATGTGTTATCCCTCCTGTACCACCCATCCCTCCCATACTACAATTTTATCATGTAATCTTTGTTCAAATATGTACAGTATGGCACTATCTTAATAACTTTGGATGAAAATACAACATAGTAGAAAGAGTATACTATGGGCATATTAAGTAAAGAGGAGTTGTGGTATGAAGGTAGATTGGAAGTAGTTCTTGTCCTTGATTCTCTTAAGCAAGATGGATGGTACCCTCTATTTATACAGGTGTGCAGCCTTCACGTAACTAAGAGGAAATGTAAGGGAAAACATAAGTGTCAATATGTTTGACTGTAACATAAGTAGGAAGAATCTAAGTATGAACATGTTTGACCCTAAGAACTGCCAAGGAAATCCCATAAAACATGTGTAAATCTAAGATGGTGTGAGTGGATATTCAAAACATAACATATTTTATTCAGCAATGGGTTACCTTATAAAATTTTGCTACTTAGATAAAAAGTAAGATTTCACAACCACTATTTAAGCTAGGCTTATAAAAGTTATCATAGCTATAGAATAAAAGTATGCAATGATTATTAGAATAAAACAGAACTTTTAGAAAAAAAATAGCTATGGAATCCAGCAGAGGAATATCTTATAAGAAAATTCTAGTTCTCTGTTCAGGCTGAACGTCCTGCTCCCGCACTTATCAAATAATTGATTAAATACCTGGTAGATTGGTAGGAACGGCTACTACTAGTGCTAGAAGTTACAGATTTTAATTTCAGTAAGGCCCTGTTTGGCATGCTACCATAAAAAGAAATGCTATTTTTTATAAAAATGGCCTTAAAGCTATTTTAAAAAAATGTCATTTTTCAGAAATAATCATGTTTGGCAATAGTTTCTTATTCTTCAGAGTTTAGACCTATAATCAACAAAAAATACTAAATCAGTGTGGTTTTGTTGGAACCTACACATGGGCTTTTTTGATTGTTATTGGGAAAACAGGTTTGAAGGGTGGCAACCTGAGAAAATCAATCTTGAGATAAATACTTTTTGCTTTTCCACTATAGGAGAATCACTTCTCTTCTATGATAAAAAAGTATAAAAATAAGGTAATTTAATTAAAAATTTATTTACTATGTAGAGTATATATCTATTATTTAAGATTTGCAAAAATATATTATTTACATGGTTTTTCCTACTATGTTTATTCTTGGATTCCCAATGTCACTGTCTTTTATATTTTCTTCAAGTTATTTCTGGCAATCCCTCCTTAATTAATAGAGCTTTTCTTAGGTGCTCAATTATTTGACCTTTCTATGACTATACCTTTGAACTTGTGGCAAGAATCTTATTCTTACTGGAATAGGTGCTTACATTTTCATAGAGTCTTTTATTGCCTGAACTTGATGCCAATGTTGTAAAAGGTACTGTATTGTAGATTTATAATTCATCAATTCTGTACTTCTTTATATTAAATATTTGCCAATTACTAAAAGGTAATTGCTATAAGTTATCTACCATAGATTTTCTAGTATTAAATTTTGTTACTTATTTCATGAGGATTTATAATGTTCTTCATACAATATAATTCAACAAAAAAACCATCTTTACTTAAACAACTTATAACATCATATCTATATGACCTATTGATTTGAAACCAGGTTCTACAGATAGCCAGAAAGCTCTAGTATTTTTCTATGAGAAAAAAAATCTTTTTAAGATATTTTACATTTTTGTATATAAAACAGGCTACAGAGGTCATTAGAGGTTGAAAAATATTTTCTAAGCTATTTAGAGTATGCTCTAGAAGGCTATATATCTGGCTATACTAAAATAAATTTTTTGTTGTTAGAGGCCAATGTGTAGGTTCTAACAAAACCACACTCAAATAATAGGTTTAAATTAAGTAAACCGAAATTGTAGCAATCTTTTTATTTTTATGACAAATTAGTAGCTTGGCCAAATTTTCTAAATATATATATTGAAAATATTCAACTCAGCTAAACGAGTATAATACTCCTATCCTTTAAGTACCTTATGCTTATAGAGATACCCTGACTATCAGATATCTTCTTAGACATACTCTGGCATGCCTACCTAGTCTACTACTTAACCTTAGAGTCTCATATATTGGCATAGACATAGGTTGCCTTAGCTTATTATTATAGGATCATTACATTATACTCTTCATAAATCATTCTTGAACTAATTAGAATATTTACTAAAATCATACAAAAAATTTGTTTAGATTATTATCATTCTCATAATATTTGTATTAGTCATATCATTGCTTTTTGTATTCTATTTTATCTTTCTATTATACAGTAATGCCCTATATGTTTTACAAACAAAATGCTATAAAAAAAAACAACATTAAATTTAAAAAAATACTATTTCAATATGCATGCCAAACAAGCCTCGCTTTTTTTTAAAAGTTTATGAGGGGAAAATGGCATCAAAGTCAGAAAAATAGCATTTTTCTGGCATGCCAAGTAGGACCTAACTATTGATTTGGAGCAAAGGTTTTAAAAATCTCACATATTTGACGAAATATACATACAACTTGTGCTAACTCTCTGGCACTGGATTCATCCTCTGAACTCTCAAAATCAATTAGGATAACTGACTTCTTCATAGATATCTTGATCCTCTTCTTGGATACTCCTTGTCTCTTACCCTTGGCTCTCATGATCCTTCCTGCTTCAAGCCTTGCCTGCTTATTACGATGATCTCTTTTCCACTTCTTGTACAATTCACCAGGAACCTTTGGATGCAGAAGAAGCTTCCCTTTGATCTGACAGTGGTTAGGCGTACTTGGGTGTACAGACTCAAGTTTTTTTGATTGTTGCGTGATCAGGAATTAACTGTATTTGAATATTATCAGCAAGTTCAACCGCTTGATGAAGTAAGAGAGCAGTCTCTCCAGCATCCTCAAGTGCTGCCTTTCTTCTAATCTCATCAATCTCGCGAGCTCTACCATTTCTTCCTCCTGAGGGGCAAAGTGAAGAATATCTTGCTAAGCAAGGAATTCCTGGAGTGGCATTTAGTTACAGACAGGAGTTTTGTAGTACATGTTGATGATTGAACTAGGATTATTCTACCTGAACACCATGCTGAGACCACATTGTCAGATGTTATAGCCTTCTCTCTGGTTCTTTGCAGTATCTGATAGAAGTCACCTTTCTACATTTTCCAAAAGGGCTCATGGTGGCATGGGAAGTTGTTCAGCTCTTGCTTGTAATAGTTTCCCAAGGGGGAAAACAAACTGATATCCAAAGATTGCAAGAGGGGAGTGTTACACATGGAAGGGTAATTGGTGCGGCACGTGACTAAATGTATAAGATCACGTGTTCGACTCCGGGCCCCGCCATAATATTCGTAGCGCTAAGATATTAGCGCACGATATGACAAGGCATCTATGCAGCCCGCTCCGCGGAGATACGAGGCATGCGACCGAGGGGTTTTCACTGAATAACATAGAAGGAGCTCCGCTCTACAAGATAAGACTTAGTTGGTTGAGATTGGTCGGTTAGTTATGGAGCTATGACCTCTGCAAGTCTATATGCAAATTACAAAAAGTAATATGCATGTCCCTTCAGCTCGCGTAAGCTAGAGTCATCCGGAAGACCTAGTTACGATTGGTTATTAACAACTCACTGGTCGAGTTAGTTATCTTCGTCATGCACTCTAAGCTATGCACATAGAAGAGTCATTGATATGTCCTTTGACGGAGCTGATCACTCCACTCAGGAAGAGAGCGGGGAAGTTAGTTTTCAGGGTCAAATGGAGTTCGCACTCCAAAGACACTGAAGCGTTAGTATGGCAGGTACATAGTCAGTAATGGATTGGATATAGGCCGCGACCACCCAGACGCGGAATATAAATATCGAGGTGCCTCCCGAGCTTTTAAGTAAAGAGGAGGGCGGGGGCTATTGGCATCTCCTTCTCTGTGCCCAAGACCGAACTCTCTCACTGGAGGACCTCAAGGGACCATGGGGCCCGTTGCTACACCCCAGTCACCCTGGATAGTACCCTCTTCCACCCCGCCGGGCGAGTTCGCTGGCTCGGCTACTGGTTTACCCCTAGCCTGGAAACATCTCCTCACTTCGCAAAACGATTGGCGCTCGCTCAAGGGGCTTTTGCTATTGTAAGACAACTTTCCCCTCCCGGCAAAGGTCTGCCTCCTTATCTCAATCGAAGGCTCGCTGTGGGGCTCATCCTCCCCATCCTCTCCTACGGGGCCGATCTTCTGGTACCCAACGCCTCTTCACTCCATAAGATGGAGGTCTTCTGGAACCGAGTCCTCCGATGGGTGACCAACTGC